TATAGAAACCCTACATTCTACTATGTCGGTACTTTGGATCCTTTGGGTCTGCATCATCCAGCTGTGGCATAGGATAGGAGAGCCGACGCGGCAAAGGACGTCTTCTGACCCTCGGATGCCTTGGGGTTCTATCGACACTGGCTTTCATCTCCTTGCGGCTCCGGGTCTTTGGTTAGGGTTCAGCAGCTCCTTATCCAAACGTATTACACTTTAGTTCGGAGCCTATGAGAAGCAACGAGGAGCACAGGGGCGGCAACTTAGGGCTTAGGGTAAAGTCATCGGTCTGCATCAATCTGGGACGTTGGGGGGGGGGGGGGGGGGGGNNCCCCATAGTATTTCCTTTTGGGGGTTACCTTATAGGATTCTATATATGAACCCCAAAAAGGAACTACTTTAGGGCCTGTGGGTAATTCCTACTATAGAAACCCTACATGTAGGTAATTACTTCAGACTTAGGACCCTTGGGCACGGGCATGTCTGGCGAAGACATGCTTGAAGTTATGGCACCCCAGTGCTAAACCCTGCAACGTAAACTAAACCCACGAGCCCACATGGCCCATAACCCCCCTTAGCCCTGTCCCCAAAGGCCGATAGATCCCTCATAGAACCCTCATTAAGCCGCCCTAAACCTAAACCCTAAACTCCACATACTAAAACGCCGCTCCCAAGTTGCACTAAAACCTTGCAGAAGCCCTCTACGGTTTAGGGTTTAGGGTTTAGCATTCAGCATCAACAAGTAAAGACATAGTGACAAACTAAAGAAAACAAATCCCATGCGCCTATAACCTGAACAACCCAGCTATATAGCCTTCATAAAAGCCCTTCTAACACCCCCTAAACCCTGAAGCCCTGAAATAACCCTAAACCCCAAACCACCCTTCAAACCCCAAAACCCCTAAACCCTCATAGAAGAAACCCTGAAACCCTGCATGAACCCTAAACCCTAAACCCTCATAGAAGAAGAAAAAAGACAAAGGTCCACCTCTTCCTGACCCGCAGCCGGCCATCCCGGCAAAGGTGGCTGCCCCCCTTTGAATGTCGAGGAGCTTAGGGACCCTAAACCCCAAACCCTAAACCCTAAACCTTGTGGGTTTAAAGTTAGGCCCTTTTTAGGGTTTAGGGTTTAGGATGGTTTAGGGGTTTGGGTTTAAAGGTAGGAGGGCCCTTTCTTAGGGTTTAGGGTTTGGGGGTTTTGGGTTTACAGTTAAGGCCTTTTTCGAGACCCTTTGTGTAGAAACTGGGGCTCTCGCTGAATCTGAAGGCTAACGTTGTGGGTGGGGGCCTAGAGGTTTTTGGCGCTGTTCAAGTCTTGCAGCGTACGATCTTTCGGTTGCGATGGCCTGGACTTTGCTATAATATAGCATCGAAGCTTTGGGGCTTCCGTTCGGGCTTTTTGGGTCTGGGCTAGGTCTTCCTTGAACCCCAAACCACCTACCTTTTCACGACTTATGTAAGGAAATCATATTAAGGAGCCCTACGAAGGCAGGTTCTTAGGGGTTAAGGTTAGGGCTCAGAGGTTCCACAGATTTTCGGCCTAGCCCCAGATGTCGGGATTCGAGAACCCAGGGCTACTAATGCTCCATGGATCCCTAAGCCAAAACCCCAGAAGGATAGTTCTCTAAATTAGGGTCCCTTTTTATTTTAGGTCCCCAATTTTTTTTAGTACGGCACCCTATTATAAAAATGGACCCTAAAAGGTACCCCAATTTAGAGAACCACCCAACCCTAAGCCCGAAACCCAAAACCCTAAACCCTAAACCCTTCCCCAGACCTCTTGGCAGGGAGGCCTGCATTCCGAAAGCCTCTAATTTAGAGATTCTGGTAGAGAACCCCTGGGCAGCTGTTTTTGGGGAAAAGGCAGTTCACTATGGTTTAGGATTTAGGGCTTATAGGGTTTATAGGGTCATAGGGCTTATAGGGTTTAGGGTTTAGGGTATTCCTCCGCACTACCAGTTTCTAAGACCGACAGCCCTTCACCCTACGCAGCAAACTAGGCTCCAGGACCCTAGTAGAACCCGCATTGAATCCGAAGAAACCTTATCAAGAAAACTCCATGCCCCACCAGAGAACAGCCATAGTGCTACCTGCGGCTCCCGACTGACGGCCCCCCCCCCTTCCGAAGATGGAGTAAGCAAGCCACGGCTGTTCTTGCTGGTCTTGGGTTGACGATGGCTGCCCATGGCGCTCGTTCGCCTTGAATTTGCGGGCCCAGCCACTGCTGCATGGGTACGCCCACGGGGCTCGCTGGTGGCCGATACGTGGGCCGAGCCAGGGATTTGAGCCGAGCTTGTAAGAATGTTCAGGGCCCCAGCACGTTCCATGGAGCCTGCCGTCTGGCATCAGGGGCTCGCCTGTTGTTCAGGTGCGGGCCCAGCCAGACCTCTGGCTTCTGCCGGTGGAAGCATTGTTACATGGCCCGGCGGTGGGAGCTTCAGCAGCAGAAGAGACGTGTCCCGGGCGGAGTAGTCAACTTCTCCCTCCCTTTCTGGGAGGGATTTTAGGGCAGAGGGGGGCCAGGGTTGAAGAGTTTGGAGGGGCTTAGGGCTCAGGATTGCTTAGTCTCTTTAGGGCTTTGGGGTCTTGGGAGCAGTCTGTTACGGAAGCTGGTGGTCTGCAGGTAGGATGAGGATTTGGGTTCAGGGTGGAAGGCCGTAAACCCTAAACCCCTCCGTTCAGAGCTTGGGTTGCAGGGGCTTGCGGCTGTCCGAAGCAGCTGCGAAGCGCTGTTTCGAGTGGACTTATAAATGAAGAGTTTGGGTTTAGGGTTTAGGGTCTTTAAGGTGTCTGTAATCGTAAACCCTAAACAATAAACCCTGTATGGTTCCAGCTTTGAAAGTGTTTAAATGGCGGGTGCCAACCTGCTCACAGCTCTCTCTGCCATGCATCACCAACGATCAACGACCCTGCTAGATCCGACAATCTTGGTTTCTAAACTCTAAACCTTAAAACTGCCTTAAACCTCTAAACTCTGAACATTGGGATCATCGTTTCTTAACCCTGAACCTTAAAACTGCCTCACACCTTGAACCCTTATAACTTTACGGTCAAAGTTACCCATAGGCCCCATAGTAGTTCCTTTTTGGGGGTTACCTTATGGGATTCTATATATGAACCCCAAAAAGGAACTACTTTAGGGCCTATGGCTACAGCTCTAGGCATGAAAGCTCGTTCCCAAGGTCTTTGCCGGACGTGTGGGTACTTCGGGCTTCTCGAGCTGGTTGAACCTTTAGGGTTTAGGGTTTATAAGGTTTAGGGTTTAGGGTTTATAAGGTGTAGGGTTTAGGGTTTAGGGTTTAGGGTTTAGGGTTTAGGGTTTATAAGGTTTAGGGTTTAGGGTTTAAAGTTTAGGGTTACGTAAGGGTGCATGTACCGAAATTTTACATACGTTGGCCTCAAAGTAGTCCCTGTACAGGTGCTTTGGGACCAAAGCATACATATACTGTTTGGGCACATGGGCCCTTAGGGGAATAACATGTCCAATCGACGATCATCCCGCGCGCCAGAGCGCCATTCCACACGCCTTCCACGGTCGGTCAAGACGTCTGAAGCTTTAACCCTAAACCCCCCCAAAGGGTCCTAGGCACGGTTACGGGCGATACATTCCCGAATCATAATGGTAATTCCTGCTATAGAAACAGAACCCTTACAGCTCAAGGTACTTAGGACAATGTGGCACCCCAAAGTGGTGTGGAGGGTTTAGAGTTTGGGGTTTTCGGCATGCTGAGGACTGCAGGGAGCTGGAGCTTGTGGGATGCAAGTTTTACGGCAGGATGCCGCTCTTCAAAGGGACCTCAGCTTCACATATTCGCACGCTTTTGATTGCAGCCTAAACCCTGAACTCAAGCTAGCTAGTGTACCTTGATATCACCCTACTCCATAGCCTGAAGTCCGACGTAAAGACCAGAGCTTGTCCGGTTGGACCTCGATGAGCCGAGCATTTCAAGCATCGAAGCCCCACCTACAATCCCCATCCCCAACCCATCCCAATACAGATGCAGGACAAGTAACACAGTAGCATCACTATCACCATCTTAATCATGGCGATCATAATATGCTCATGCATAGTATATTATAGTACTAGTATGATGACAATCGAATCAAAAGAATAGCCACGAGAGCAATGAAGCAGACGTGCCTGCTATCCAGGGCCAAGCCGAATCTGACCTTACTAGCGCGAAATGTGGCTTTTAGGGCGTACAGGGTTTAGGGTCTAGGGTTTAGGGCTCAATACTTGACTGGATGAAACAAAAGCTAACCCTAAACCGTAAACCATAAGACCCTAAACCCAAAGCCCTGAACCCTAAAACCCTAAGACCCCAGCCGAACCCTAAACGCTGCATCCGAAATCCTAACCTGCCCAGACCCTCCGGTGCACTTCCTTTTTTCGGGTGCCTTCCTAGAGTTTAGGGTTTAGGGTTAGAATCTAACCCCGTCCTGAACTGAACCTTTAGATAAAACAGGAATAGCCTCCAGCCTCTCTACCCTAAACCCAAGCCCGAACTCAAAAGCCTGGCAACTCTGAGTTTGGCTTTGAACTACGCTTCCGTTACAGGGAAGCCTAATTAACCTACAGCAGCTATCAGGTTCCCCCTCTAATGATCATAGCAGCCTTGTAGAACCCCTTACAGACAACTGCGCAAACCCTGTTCTGGGGTTTAGGGTTTAGGGTTTAGGGTTTAGGGTCTCGGTTTAGGGTTTAGGTTGTGTAAGGCTTGCACGATCACTCGGGTGCTGCCAAGCTTTCTCGGGTTCGGCGGAAGTAGCTCGTGTTTGCCAGGGCGCCCCGAGGAAAAGAGCCGCCAAATTGCGGAGGCTCTTAGAATCCCTTGCCCTAAGGGTCCAAGTACCTAATAATCATATACTCTCCCAAATATTAACCTAGAAAACTGCTATCCGCAACCAAAGTACCTTATTATTGGGTCCTTTGGACCCTTAGGGTTTCTTGTGAGAGTTTTATGCTCACTTGGTCTTTTGGGGCTTCTCGGCCTCCGCAACTCCAACGAAACTCTGAGACCAACCTCTCCTCCCTGGCAGTGTTTAAGTTTTAGTAGGGCTATGCCTACTCATGGGGGGTAACCTACTATTCGGTGGGGTTTAGGGCTGTAGGTAGCTCCGAAGACATCCCCAAGACCGCACCTCAACCAAAAAAAACCTTAAACCCTGAACCTGACGTAGCCATAAATGAGAAATATTAAACTTTCAACGGTAAACCCTGAACCCCCAACTGTCAACCCCAAACACCCTGAACCCTGAAGCCTAAGCTGCACACCCTCAACTCGAAACCCTAAGCTCCAACCCTGAACCCTTAACTACTGAACTAAACCCTAAACCCTGAACCCTAAACCCGTAAACCTACAACCTAAACTCCCCAAACCCTGAACCCTTAACTATTTAACTAAACCCTGAACGCTGAACCCGGAACCCTTAATTACTGAAAACCGTAAGCTTAAAGTTTCTGGGTCGAGCGGCCAACTCTGGGAGCGTGCGGAAGTGCCAGCGCGACCGGAAGTTCTGCACCTCTTCAAAGCAGTATATAGGGTTTGGGGTTTAGGAATTAATCACTAGGGCTCAGGATTTAGGGCTTCGGGTTTAGGGTTTAGGGTTTAGGGTGGCTGCCGAGCGATTTGTAATGGCTGGGGCTTTTGCGGCTCTTTGACGCTTCGTGATGGTCGAGTGTTCATGGATTGGGATGCTTGACACGTCTAGGGGCTCTTAAGGACAAGGGTTCGCCCGAAATCACAAGAACATTCTCGCTGTTGAAGTATAACTCTCAGCTCATTCCTATCCCATAAGCCCTCAACCCTGTCCCCTAAACCCTAAACCCTCAACCCTCTAGACCCCTAAACCCCCTAAACCCGAAACCCTCTAAACCCCTAAAGCCCTGAAGCCCCGAGCCCCATAGTTCCCTTAAAAGGGAATCACCGGAAACCCTAAACTTTGACCCTGCGCCCTAGACATCCGCCACAGCCTCGAAACCCGGAAGCCGAACAGCTCAAGCCTCCAGAATCTAGGGGCCTCAAT